CCCTTTGATTTAATAGGAAAAATTGAATGCAAATTCTCAATAAAAATTATTTCATTTTATTAATATCCCCAAATTAAACGATCTTTTAAATATTAATATTATAAATCATTTTAAGAATTAAAATAACAATCCTCCATCTAGAAATTTCCACATTTAAATACAAGATTAGATCCTTAATTATTAGTGATAATATTATTTTCAAATATAGATTTAATTAATATAATTTTAGAATTAGGACTATTTATATAAATAGTTGATGATTACTTGAATAGTTAATCTTCTTAATAAGTATGATGATGATTATTAAAGGTATAAATATCTTACAAATCAATTTATTATTATTATTCAGATATTATGCTAATAACACAAGGTTGTTCAGACAATTTAGTAAGAATAATTGTATTGTTTGTCAAATTAAGGTATTTCATTTCTATTTTCTCTGATTGTCTAAAATTTGTTCTTTCTAATGATTTTAATGTTATAATCGGTAAATTAATTATTATTAAACCTGTAATTTCAAGTTTATCAATTTAAATTAATTTAACATTATATAACTAGATCATACTACCATACCCAATATCTTAGTTTTATTATAGACAAGAAACGAATTAATGAAACAATTTAATTTTGAATTCATAATCTAATGTAGCTCTTATATTTTTAAACACTATTTTATCAACATTAACAATAGATATCTCTGGAAGAGTGAAAGTTCTAATAATATTAACATTTTCCATATAAATTTCCTTTACATCAAAATAAAGAGAAGAATTGGCTGAATTTACTGAACCTTTGTAATTTTGTTAAGTAAATTTATTAGTATGTAATGTCAATCCATTAATATTAACTTTTAAATCAAAAAATTGATCACTTTGCTCTAATTCTAAGAACACTTTACTTCCAATATAATTATTATTGTCAAATGTTATTGAATTTAATGAAACTTTATTTGATTTGATGTTATCTTTGTATAAAGCATCTACTTTATTTGTTATTACAACATTATCAGGACTATTGAAGTTATTGTTTGATATTAACTTATTGTCAATAGAGAATAGAGGTAGTTTAAATAATTAGACTTGAGAATTAAATTTACCATTAGAAACTATAATGTTTATTAATTCAACATTTAATACTCCAGGTATATTAAATAGACTTGAATTAGTTAATTCATCATGTTCAGAATTAAATTATTCAATATTGAATATGGATTCTCTATTTGAATTATTAAATTAAGTGTAGAAAGTAATTGATGATATATATTTATTGTTTAATGACTTAAAATTATTGACTTTAAGTAGTTGATTATTTTATCCTGTATCCAAAATTTAAACTATTAATTTTGAATTAGTTATAAAACAATTTGATATTATAAATTAATCAATTTAAAATACTAAAGTCTTTGTTAAATTTTGAGTAAAGTAATAATTAATGATTCCATTAAGATTATCTAATTTAGAATCTAAAATTTAAAAATCATTTATTTTTATATTATTTGGATTTTAGATTGCTATTTTAAATTAATTTTAATTGATATTCTTTATTTAAATCTCTTCTAACAAAACCGATATACTATATAAATTTTTAATATTCAATGATGTAGTATTATTATTTGGAATAATCTAAAGATTTTTTAAATTGATTGCAGTGAATTCATAAAAAGTAATATTGTCATCTAGATAAATCTACATTCTACTGCTAGGGGATTATAAAATTAGTTCTAAATATTATACTGTGAAGACATTTCGACGGATTTCCGATTTAATAAATGTATTTTTTTTTATGATACAATCCCCAGTTTTTGGTAATACATTTAAGATGTATCTCACTAATTTCACACTTTTTTAGTTTAGTTCATTAAATAGATAATTAGTTTCTACAGAGAAATGGTTGATATTAAGTGTAGAAAAAATTTCAGAAATAAGAGCATTTTTACTTAAAAATTCATTTTATTCTTCTGAAGTTTCTAATCTATAAAAATAATAATCAAAAATTGATTTAGAACAGTATAAATTAATTGGAATTTCTAGGTAAAGATAACAATCTTTCTTTTCAGAGTTTAGACAATTAATTTCATAACCCAAAGTATGATCATAGTACAATATTCCAGATTTTGGAGGTTCAGATTAACGTTTTATACATTACTATGCATATTTCTATAGTGTAATATCATCTGGTTAGAAATAAGGATTAATTTTAAGCTTTTCTTCTTCAGTAATTTCTCTACATAATTAAACAAAATTAAGGGCAAAGATGACATTATCCATGATAAACTGTTTTTGTGTTTAGACTATTACAACTAATGCATACTGATTAATCATTTTCTATAATGCAGGAATCACAATTGCATTTTGGATAGCATTTATTATTATAAAGTATACCATTTTATGGACAAGCTGTGCATATGACCTCTAAATTTTCTATATCTAATTTAGTTCCAAAGACATTGAAATTATGCTAACCATCTAATAAATAATTTCTAAAATGATAATTAATTTTATATTGCCATTTCCAAGCATCTTAATAAACTTTGTTTTATTCAATACATGAAGAACAAGTTGATGGACATTAATAAAATTTTCCTAAAAAAGTATTCGAATAGAATCCATTCAAACATTACATACAATATTATTATTCTTAAATGAAGTTATTTACACAAACCATACAATTAGGATCATTACAAAATACTCCAGTAATTGGATTTGAAATTGTAGTAATACTAGAGTAAGAATTAACACGATCTCCATATATAATAACAAATTTTAGTTAAGGATTTTATGGTAGACTATATAAAGCTAATTGAAAATCATTATTTTTAGATTCTAATACTTTAAGTTTTAATTCTTTTGGTAAAAAGTTACCTTAAGACTCTACTGATGCACATTCATAATATTAATAAACTAACATTTTATTGATATATCCATTTTTACACTTTAGACAAACTTAAAATACTGGAATGGTCTCCTTGAAAGTAACAATATCTAGAGAATTACTATATTATTAAGCTTCTAACATTAAACTTTAATTAAAATAAACTAGATAATGTTCTGATACCTCAATCTCACAGTTAGGTAAGGTTTTTTTTTTGCAGTTTAATTTCTCTGCAGAGATAAAATAATCCTAATCATGAATGCATCTTACACATTACAGGTTATTCAAAGTAGAAGAGTAAATACAAACTTTACAAAATTAGCCACATTATTGAAATTATTCAAGTGTTTAATTAAAATAATAACCTGTAATACACTCTCTACAATAATAACCAGTTTAATTCTATTTACAATTGGGACATTTTAAGGGACATTCTAAACATCTATTATCATATAGAGTGTAATTTAATTCACAACTTATACATTAATGATAGTTATTGCATTCATTACAATTCTTATTTACTTTAACACATTCTCAATTATTTGATTAATAACAACTCTTGCATAAAAACTTTTAGATTTTATTTAAAGTATATTTTTCAATAAAATTGAAAGAACTTTCAGTTTATTCTAAGCATCCAAAGCATGATTCAAGGACTGGCTATTATGTGATATTCAACTAATTGATTAAATAGTATTCAAAATCTTTTATTTTTCTATCTTTTTTCAAAAACACATAATTTGTATCATTAGAAAAGGGCATTAGATAATCTGTTGTGCATCTTGGATTTAAATACCATAAGTTTGGATTCTAAATACAATCTATACAATATATTCCGAATAGAGTTATCAGCTCCAGGACAATCCAAACAATATGAATTTCCATTTATTATTACTTTAAATTAATACCTTTGACATCCTAAATGTTCTTAAATTATGGCTTCTTATATGTTGATATTTTTTAGAATATTTCCCCTAGCTAATATTATGTGAAATTTAATACGTTTACAATTTTGATTTCCATCATCCACAAATCCTTCCTAACATAAACATTGTGACTTTTATAATTCTCTTTTAGATGTTGAAACATCCTCACAAGTCAAACAATGACTTTCTAGTGGTCCAAAACATGCTTTACAAGATATATGACACTCTATTAATAATTAATTTAAATACTTTTGGGAATAGGAGTATCATCATTATAACAATACCTAAAAGTTAAATCACGAATTGATCCATTGAAATTCTTATTGTAATTGTCCCCTCCAATATTAAAATATAATTTGGCATTCTCCTGATGTTATTAATTCATTGTGAATATTTATTCTTGTTTTCCATGGCCAAAGTAAATTGATAACTTGATATTATTTACTTCATCTACTCCCTCTTAATATACGAACCAATGCCAAAATGTTAATGCTTCATAATAAAATGAGTTTAATTATAACCAAGAATCACTCTCTTTTGTTTAATAAGAATTAAAACTCTCAGATTCATTGTTGTGATAAGTAGTTACCTAAAATCCATTTAAATTTTCATTCAGGGAACTTTAAATATACTTCCAATATATCGCTTTATCTCCTTGATATTTATCTTGAAAGTATGAATATCTCAAGGTGGCCCTGAATAACACGCTTTCAATAGTTTATAACTAAATATAATTACTAAATTACTTCTGCCACCTCTTTTAATTTAACCCATCCAGACAACATAAATTTACTGTTAATATAGGCTATAGGTTATCGTAAAATTGTTGCACTCTTCATATATGCTGTTATTAGTATATCAATAACGTTTTCACACACTTCTGCTTGGCAATCTAACTCTATGTTTTATAAGAATGTTGGAATGTCAGCATAATAGTAACTTGAACCTTCTCTTAAATCCATGCTACTAATTTATCCAGAAAACTCTTTCAATAACTACTATTTGGAATCAAAAGCAGGAGTAAACTAATTTAAGTTACATGCTTACTATGGATGATCCACCAAGAAAATACTCTTTATAATCTGTTATTTCTAAAATATAAGGCCCTCCTTCTATCATTTATACATTTACGTCATCCTTTTATATATATAAGAAATTGTTATAACTAGATGATGATTCTTAGTAACAAAAATACAAAAAAACCCAACTTTCAATTGCAATTGATTAATCTATCTTTAATTATCTTATTTGATAAGTTCCTCCATGAAATAAGTATATACAATGAGTGAATGATTTCTCTTCTTAATTTAAAATTATGTAATAAACCAAATATGTAATATCTTACTTTTTTTCCGTGAGAACATGCATAATTTAGATTGGCAAGGAAAGATCGTCAACTGAAACATAAAATTTAGAATATTTTGTCCATACACCCCAAGCGTAATCTAAAGTAACAAGGGATGATAAATCTTATTCAATTAACCTTTATCCTGTATTTGGAGTAGTAATTGTTTTGAAGACCTCACAAGAGCAATAAACTAATTTCACCCTAATGATAATATTTAAATTTACAATATAATGCTTAAATATATCCTTGAGAATTTTTTGAACATTAATTAATTTTTTCCATTAAATTTCAGTTTTCAATATAAATTAGGCCAAAGATAATATGTAATCCTTTTAAGAAATAATCTAGAAATTATGAATGGACAAATTATTTTCTTATTTATTGTATTTAATCTAAGGTTAATAATGTTGATTAAGTATTATCATAAATATCTTAATCAGAAACATATTTGTTAATAATACCTAATTGTAGTTTTTTTAAAAAGTTTTTGTATGTTTAGGTAAAATTTTATTTTTTCTTTAAAATTAATTACATAAATTTAGATTTTAAAGATATAATATCGCCTGATACCTGTTTAAAAGATTCTATCTATCTGATTTCACTATAAATTTAAAAATAATTTGAAAATATTATACATACCTTTCATTTATGAATCTATTTTAAATACTTAGAATAATGTAAAATAAATTCATTTAAAGATGAATAAGCTTTATTTTTATTAGTTTTAACTTGAAGATATTTCAATTAAATGTAAACTAATTTAAAATTTGAAAAAAATCAAAATGAGCTTAATAATAGGTGAGATTACTTGTTTGATTAGAAAATTTTACTTTTAGTTTTTTTTATTTTTTATCTATTTGATAAAGAAAATTATTGAAATGGAAAATTCTATTCATATCAAAAATAATAATATTCTCTCTGTATTTTAGATATGATAAAATGAAAAATGTCTTCTTACATTAAAAGCCTACTTTGATTTTAAGAATACGATCTCAAAAGAAAAATCTTAATACTAATCAATCTAGTTATAAATTTCTGGTAAAATATATATTTTATACATTAGAGGATTTAAATAAAGTATTTTATGAAATAAACTTCTTTAGAATTAAACTTTTGGATTGCTATTTTTGGCATTAGATTTTCAAACTCTATTTAATATATCTAAAAAAAATTTCTAAATTTAAATATCTATAAATATATTTATGAATTAATATTTAATAGATCAATTTTTTGATTTTTAATTTGAGTATTTTTTAGAATTCAATATTTTTTAGATTATTATTGTATAAACTGAAAAGCTGTTTGAAAAATTTTATACAAAATTACTTTTTGGGAAATATTTAACTGAAAGTATTATTTTTTTTAAGGAAAATTTGCTTTAGAAATATTTTTGAATTGAATTCTAGAATTCATATTATTTGTTTGTATATACATCACAAAATTGTAGTGTTATTCTAATTATAAGACATTCTTTCCAAAAATTAGATATATTTAAAAAGGTATATATAATTAGAAACAATTATTGTTTAAATAATAAAAATATAATTTATGGAAAAGATGATTAAATTATAGAAAATATGAATGATGGATTGGTAGCATAAGTATAAGCAGATGTGAATAGATACAAAAGTTATAATTGTATTTATAAAAATGAAATTATTCAATCTAATATATTGTCCTTGTAAAAATATAATTATTTATTATATATTTACTATCGATATTTAATTAAATATACTTAAATTTTAAATTGTTCGGGTTGTCATACTAAGNTAGACAATGAGTGAATGATTTCTCTTCTTAATTTAAAATTATGTAATAAACCAAATATGTAATATCTTACTTTTTTTCCGTGAGAACATGCGTAATTTAGATTGGCAAGGAAAGATCGTCAACCGAAACATAAAATTTAGAATATTTTGTCCATACACCCCAAGCATAATCTAAAGTAACAAGGGATGATAAATCTTATTCAATTAACCTTTATCCTGTATTTGGAGTAGTAATTGTTTTGAAGACCTCACAAGAGCAATAAACTAATTTCACCCTAATGATAATATTTAAATTTACAATATAATGCTTAAATATATCCTTGAGACTTTTTTGAACATTAATTAATTTTTCCCATTAAATTTCAGTTTTCAATATAAATTAGGCCAAAGATAATATGTAATCCTTTTAAGAAATAATCTAGAAATTATGAATGGACAAATTATTTTCTTATTTATTGTATTTAATCTAAGGTTAATAATGTTGATTAAGTATTATCATAAATATCTTAATCAGAAACATATTTGTTAATAATACCTAATTGTAGTTTTTTTAAAAAGTTTTTGTATGTTTAGGTATATTTTTATTTTTTCTTTAAAATTAATTACATAAATTTAGATTTTAAAGATATAATATCGCCTGATACCTGTTTAAAAGATTCTATCTATCTGATTTCACTATAAATTTAAAAATAATTTGAAAATATTATACATACCTTTCATTTATGAATCTATTTTAAATACTTAGAATAATGTAAAATAAATTCATTTAAAGATGAATAAGCTTTATTTTTATTAGTTTTAACTTGAAGATATTTCAATTAAATGTAAACTAATTTAAAATTTGAAAAAAATCAAAATGAGCTTAATAATAGGTGAGATTACTTGTTTGATTAGAAAATTTTACTTTTAGTTTTTTTTATTTTTTATCTATTTGATAAAGAAAATTATTGAAATGGAAAATTCTATTCATATCAAAAATAATAATATTCTCTCTGTATTTTAGCATATGATAAAATGAAAAATGTCTTCTTACATTAAAAGCCTACTTTGATTTTAAGAATACGATCTCAAAAGAAAAATCTTAATATTAATCAATCTAGTTATAAATTTCTGGTAAAATATATATTTTATACATTAGAGGATTTAAATAAAGTATTTTATGAAATAAACTTCTTTAGAATTAAACTTTTGGATTGCTATTTTTGGCATTAGATTTTCAAACTCTATTTAATATATCTAAAAAAAATTTCTAAATTTAAATATCTATAAATATATTTATGAATTAATATTTAATAGATCAATTTTTTGATTTTTAATTTGAGTATTTTTTAGAATTCAATATTTTTTAGATTATTATTGTATAAACTGAAAAGCTGTTTGAAAAATTTTATACAAAATTACTTTTTGGGAAATATTTAACTGAAAGTATTATTTTTTTTAAGGAAAATTTGCTTTAGAAATATTTTTGAATTGAATTCTAGAATTCATATTATTTGTTTGTATATACATCACAAAATTGTAGTGTTATTCTAATTATAAGACATTCTTTCCAAAAATTAGATATATTTAAAAAGGTATATATAATTAGAAACAATTATTGTTTAAATAATAAAAATATAATTTATGGAAAAGATGATTAAATTATAGAAAATATGAATGATGGATTGGTAGCATAAGTATAAGCAGATGTGAATAGATACAAAAGTTATAATTGTATTTATAAAAATGAAATTATTCAATCTAATATATTGTCCTTGTAAAAATATAATTATTTATTATATATTTACTATCGATATTTAATTAAATATACTTAAATTTTAAATTGTTCGGGTTGTCATACTAAGTTTTTGAAAGAAAATTAATTGAACTTTCGTAACATAAATTATTTATATATTTAATTCTTTTAATTTTAAAAGAATATTTAACTCTATTTATTGTTTCTCATGAGATCTATATTCTTAGATATCTAATTGTTATAAAGTAATTTTTTAAGGAATTATTTAAGATAAAACATGTTAAATCAATCTTAGACTCTACAATTATAATTAATTTTTATTTACACCATCAATATCATGAAAATCAGTAATCAGAATAACTAAATTTAAGAATTTTAATCAGTTCAAAATTTATTCGTAATAAGTTTAGGGGCTTATAATACTATCTGAGGCTTAATGTGTAAACTAATATTATTATAAAAATTTACATGAAATTTCTGATTTTCTTTTGTTATTTTTAGGTATTTCTTCAATAAAAAATTTAATAGATACTAACCAAAAAGTCAAATAATAATTTCTAAATTTTTGCTTCAATTCACAAATCACTAACAGATTTTATCTATAAAAGTTAGAAAATGAACTCTAATTGATATTTACTTTTTCTTAAATATATACTAAAATATTAATGTCTTCAAAATAAATTAACTTTAAAACTTTCTTATTTTTCTTGTTTTCAAACATACAATATCTTCTTAATGATTAGTAGTATAAATTAATAATCCTTATGAAAATTTTTAAAGCAAAAATATTTCTGCTTTGGATGTTTGCCTATTTAATTTGTGTTAAAAGCTAGTGTGATGAAATTAAAGATCAAAAATAATGTAATGAAAATAATCAATGCGAATGGGATTATTGGAAACCTTCAAAATGTTAAAATATATGTAGTTTATTGACTATTGAAAATGCTTGCAACTTTGCAGCAAATTGTAAATGGATAGCGAGTTCATCTTCTTGTTTTATTAAAAAATGCACAGAAGAAAAGAGCATTGATAGGTGTGATAAAATCGTATTAATTTAACTTAATTAGGTTGCGTGCACTTGGCAAGATGATAAATGTTGGGACTCTTCATGCATTTAATTATAAGCTAAAGAAGCTGGTAAATGTGCTACTGCATATTGTATTTGGGATGATAATAGGCAACTTTGTTATGATAAAAAATGCTCAGACTATTATAATCAATATGATTGTTCTCAAATGTCATTTTGTATTTGGTTTAAATACAAATGTATTGATAATGGGAATCAAAAGCTTGATTTTTGAGATTAATAGTAAGATTAATAAATGTGAAAGATATTATTGTTATTGAAGAAATATATTATTGTTGTTCGTTTGATGTTAACACTTTATATCAATATGATCTTTTTCCATTCCTATTTTATATTTAACAAAGAGTTTTTTAATTATTTTCTCATAAAAAAGATCATAAATTTAAAGTTTAGATTATTAATACTAGTGTTGTTAGAAATAAAATTTTGTTCAAAATAATTTTAATTGATTAGAATTTTCGATTATCATTTGACAAAGTTAATAGAGATTTTCCAAACATAAATCTTGTCTTAAATAAAAAAAAATACTTTAAATAACAATTATTTATTTTAAAAAGTATTTCAAAGTCATTTACTTAATTGATTTTAAAGGAGGTATATTTTAAAATTGCTCTTAGGGTTTACTCATTATTTTTTTAATATTTTTGCAGTTTGACTGTTTGGACTGAGCTCAGTATTTATAATTGAAAAAAAATCCAAATAGCATAAAAGGAGGAGAACAGTAACAGTATTTGAGAATTTGTGTTCATAATTTTTACTAGAGCTTAAGTTGGATATTCTGATATTTAATCTATAATCTCATCCATATGAACAACCTTGATATTCAATTTATCCAATAAGAGCTTGTNATACAATATCTTCTTAATGATTAGTAGTATAAATTAATAATCCTTATGAAAATTTTTAAAGCAAAAATATTTCTGCTTTGGATGTTTGCCTATTTAATTTGTGTTAAAAGCTAGTGTGATGAAATTAAAGATCAAAAATAATGTAATGAAAATAATCAATGCGAATGGGATTATTGGAAACCTTCAAAATGTTAAAATATATGTAGTTTATTGACTATTGAAAATGCTTGCAACTTTGCAGCAAATTGTAAATGGATAGCGAGTTCATTTTCTTGTTTTATTAAAAAATGCACAGAAGAAAAGAGCATTTATAGGTGTGATAAAATCGTATTAATTTAACTTAATTAGGTTGCGTGCACTTGGCAAGATGATAAATGTTGGGACTCTTCATGCATTTAATTATAAGCTAAAGAAGCTGGTAAATGTGCTACTGCATATTGTATTTGGGATGATAATAGGCAACTTTGTTATGATAAAAAATGCTCAGACTATTATAATCAATATGATTGTTCTCAAATGTCATTTTGTATTTGGTTTAAATACAAATGTATTGATAATGGGAATCAAAAGCTTGATTTTTGAGATTAATAGTAAGATTAATAAATATGAAAGATATTATTGTTATTGAAGAAATATATTATTGTTGTTCGTTTGATGTTAACACTTTATATCAATATGATTTTTTCCATTCCTATTTTATATTTAACAAAGAGTTTTTTAATTATTTTCTCATAAAAAAGATCATAAATTTAAAGTTTAGATTATTAATACTAGTGTTGTTAGAAATAAAATTTTGTTCAAAATAATTTTAATTGATTAGAATTTTCGATTATCATTTGACAAAGTTAATAGAGATTTTCCAAACATAAATCTTGTCTTAAATAAAAAAAAATACTTTAAATAACAATTATTTATTTTAAAAAGTATTTCAAAGTCATTTACTTAATTGATTTTAAAGGAGGTATATTTTAAAATTGCTCTTAGGGTTTACTCATTATTTTTTTAATATTTTTGCAGTTTGACTGTTTGGACTGAGCTCAGTATTTATAATTGAAAAAAAATCCAAATAGCATAAAAGGAGGAGAACAGTAACAGTATTTGAGAATTTGTGTTCATAATTTTTACTAGAGCTTAAGTTGGATATTCTGATATTTAATCTATAGTCTCATCCATATGAACAACCTTGATATTCAATTTATCCAATAAGAGCTTGCCCCGTGTTTTATATTAGATAAAAGCCCTAAAATTAAGCTTTTTAATTATATGGCCATAAGCAATTCAAGAAAATAGTTATTCTTTGATGATGAATGTCAATAGAAAACAACTATCCATGAGAAAATCAAAAATTCAGAGGTTTTTAAAAATAAAAAATTCTCACAATAGAATCATATAAATACTTTATTATTTTAATAAGTATTATATAATAGATCCAATAAATAAAACATTCATCATCTTGATTGTTGTCAAAATCATAAAAATTAATCAATATTAGAAGAATATCATGTATTTTTAATAATAAAAAAATATATTGTTTTGGTTTTGATTGATAATTATTAGCAGATTTATTATGTAATTAAATAATATGTTTTTTAAATAAAAGGAGTGTTTTCTTTTACTCATTTTTTGTCTCCAAGTCTTTGCAACCTTGAGATTATTAGATTTGAGTTTTACAGACAATAATATTTAAAATAATAATTAGATTATGGCAAGGACTTGCACAAATGCTGTTTAAGTCTCATTCTAAACAAAAAACTGTAATTAGAATCCACTAAATTATGTTCAATTGACAAGAAATTAAGAATATATATCTAAATCTTTCCAATGTAGGAGCTTTTAAGTTTAAATAGTTTTAGATGTCTTTTTTATTGAAGCAGATCTCTCAAATTCCAAATTTAAGGTGAGTTTATAAAATTCAGCTAATGAATAAGTAATTTATAGTAGAATTTATAAAAGAGATGACTTGACATAAAATAGTGGAATGATTTGTAATAATTTTTTTGATGATTTTGAATTTCTTACAATATCAAGTACAATTAATAATTTAGACGCTAAAGACTTTGTAATTAACATTTGTTTTGATCCTGATGATCCAGATATGGAAATAGGGATTAGAAATATGTTAATATATGATTCCTGTTATCCAACTTGTTTAACTTGCAATGGTCCTTCCAAAACAGATTATTTAACTTGTTTTGATAATTAAAGTGTATAGAGCGGATAATGCTTATGTATTTCTGAATAATAATATTCTGAAACAGATATTGGTTGTCGTCAAGAATGCGATAGAGATTATTCGATAGCTAACTAAGATAAAATTTGTGTATAAGACAACAGAATTAAATCAAAATTTACATTATTTGATAATAGTGTTATTCCTTTATCAAATTAAGATAGATATTAACCTTTTATTTTTCTTGCAGATATATTTCATCCTAAAAACACTGATTTAATTTACGAAAATTGTAATGGAATTAGTTTTATTGGCAAGTTTTAATTTAGTGAAGGTATGTTGTATTAAATGGATTTATAAAATTCAGTCAAATTTCTAAGAATTCGTCTTACTTTTTATTTGTTTGATTTTCAAGAATCAAGTAAAATCGAAATCATATATGATAATCAAATTTATTCTAGAATAATAAAACTGCAACAGGTTTTTTATATGAAAATATGAATAATATTTTTGTAAAGAATGATATCTGTGAAACCAGTTTTACATTATTAAGAATAGAAATTATTTATTCACTCTTTAATTCTTATCCAGCAATTAAAATTTAAGGATAACTTTAAGAAGTAAGTGAATCTTGGGGATTTAGAAATGTTACTGTTGATACAGGATTTTGTTAAATGAATTGTGTGACTTGTTTAGATAATTCGAAATGTTCATCATGTGAAATAGGTTATTAATTATATAGAAATCAATGTGTTTAGTAATTTCCTATTCATTCATCTAATTGTATTGATTATGAAGATATTATTCAATGTAAATTATTATTATTTCATTGTTAGATATTTAGTGAAAGGATTTTACAATTTAAATATGACTCTGGAAGAAATAAGTTCATATTATGATACTTTTTCAACTCTATCTTAAAATTTTGCGACATAATAAAAATTTTCATTTTTAAATAATAAAATAGTCTTAGGCGGTTTGTTAGTTTGGAATGATGGATCTTTTACAAAAACATGGATAATATAAAAACCTCATTACGCAGTATCAATATATTTTAATTTAACTTATGGTGATGGATACACTGGATCGTTTTATTATAAGGTAGGCTCACCAACAAATGGCTATTAAGGACCTTATAATAATCCTGGAGGAGGATAAAATTTGATTGGCCGTTTAAGTTTAGAAAATACTCGCTTCTTTTAGATTCATTTGGATAATTTTTAAAATAATAATTTATTCATAGAATTAAAATGTTAGGCCATTTCAGCAAACATTAAATAAGGTTTTTGTGCAATATCAGACTACTTTATTATTGTTCATTATGTATTTGATAATTATATTGAAGTGTCCTCCATTTTGTTAAGATTGCATAAGTTCAAGTATATGTACAACTTGGTAGTCAGGTTATACTAGTTCAAGTTGCTAAAGTAATTAATATTTGAATTTTGATCAATAAACAGAAACATACAGTTGCAATAATTGCGTTTAGTCTAGTTGTAGTATTTGTATTAGTGCAGATGAATGTGTTTAATGCTTTAGTGATTAATTTTAGTTAACCAATGGAATCTGTTTGTGCAAGCCATTCACTTATTTATTAGGAAATACTTGCATTTAGTGCAATAGATACTGTGAAAGCTGTTTTGGTGCTACTTCATTAAATTGTCTCTCATGTATTAAAGAATTTCACAGAAGCATTTAATAAAATTAATGTTTATGCAATCCTGGATATTATGATGATGGAATAAATCTAATATGTCTTCCAAAATGTGGAGATTAAATAATAGTTGAAGAAGAAGATTGTGATGATGGTAACAATGATCCATTTGATGGATGTTATTAATGTTAATTTATTTGTTAAGAAGAATGCAAGGTTTGCCTTTATGGTAAATGTTATTCATGCAAAGATAATTATTACTTAGTTGAAGCAATCAATAAATGTAAACCAATTTGTGGAGATTTAATAATGATAATTAATGAACAGTGTGATGATAGTAATAATCATGTTTTTGATGGGTGTCATCATTGCAAATTATAATGTTACGCTCATTGTCTTAAATGTAACTAAGGGATCTGCGAAAAATGTGATGAGTAAAATGGCTGGTATTTAACAGGTGTTAATTGTGAATTTATATGCGGAGATGGAATTCTAGCAGAAAGATAAGAACAATGTGATGACTCAAATTTGAACCCTTTTGATTTATGCTATTTGTGTGAATAAGAATGTTCATAACACTGTATATTTTGCCAAATTGGATATTGTCTTGAATGTGAAATCGGCTTTTAGTATGTTGATGAAAATAGATAATGCATTCAAATTTGTGGTGATAATTTAATTGTTGAAAATGAATAATGTGAAGATCATATGTTATAATTTTTTTAAATATGTGAAAATTGTTAATTTAAATGTAATCATAATTGCAATATGTGTAATTTTGGTAAATGCCAATAATGTAAAGTTGGGTATACTTTAATAAATAATGAATGCATAGAAATTTGTGGGGATGGGTATGTAGTTGGAACTGAAGTTTGTGATAAATTAATTTAAAATATCAACTCTGATTGCTATAACTGTAATCACAATTGTCGAAGTGGCTGTTTAGTTTGCAATTATGGTATATGTCAAATTTGTAAAGTTGGATACTTTTTAGAATAATTTTAATGTAAACCAAGTTGTGGTGATTAATTAATTGTGGATTTAGAGTAATGTGATGATGGAAATTTAATACCGTATGATGGATGTCATAATTGCAACTATTCTTGCGAAATTAATTGCAAAGTATGCTTATTTGGGTAGTGTACAGAAATGGATGAACCAAATATAATAGATATCGACAATGAAGATCCTAATTCGATTACCTTTGATTGTATTCCAGATTGTAAAATTTGTAATTAGAATAATATTTGTTTGGATTGTGGTCAGCATTTTCAATTAATAAATTCTAAATGTGTTCCTATATGTGGGGATGGTATTATTATAGAGGGATTAGAAGAATGTGATGATGGTAATAATTTACCAGATGATGGATGCTTTGAATGCTAATTTTAATGCTCTGATGGTTGCGTTGAATGCCAAAAAAATTCATGTAAGAAATGTGATAAAGAATAATTCATTTTGGATATTTAAACAGGTAAATGTTTAGAAAAAAACTATGATTAAAATAATAATGACACTGATTATTCAATATCAGAGTTTCAGTATTATACAAATTTTAGATGTGGAGAAAATTAATTACTAATTGATAATGTGTGTGTTAATTAGTGCGGAAATGGTATCCTTGTCAATCATTATGAAGAATGTGATGATGGAAACAGCTTGGGAGGAGATGGATGCTCTTCTTTTTGTAATATAGAAAATTCTTATAAATGCATAAATAGAGACGGTTCATTAAGTTTATGTTCTTTTATCAAGGCTCCAGAGTTTATCCTCAATATTTTATCAGATAAAATGAATTCAACTTAAATAGTAGAATTAACTTTCACATAATAGGTTAAATTATATTCAGAATTAATGTTCGAAGAAATTGCATTTTTTACTTTTACTTCTAAAACTCAATATTTATTATCAGTCAGTTATATTTAAAATATTTCAATACATTTAAGTTATCCTAAATATTAAATTTTAATAGAATTTATTGAACCCTTAGTAGATCCTATACTATAAGTTGATATAGCGAAATCGATTATACAGAATTCATATGAATAAGATTTATAGGATCATTAAAAAATGATTGTTCTTGGCACTCCTTTTGTGCTACCTGAAACAGCTAAAAAATAATTAACATCCATCGTTTAAATTAATGATGTTATGTTGTATTCGATGGCAAGTGTATCAGGCTTGGCTTTGCTAACTGGAAATGCTATTATGTTCTTTAATCTATTAGATTTATTGTAGTCCTTATCTTATATTAAGTATATGCAATATCAATTTCCACCACATGTAACAGAATTTTTGAATACTTATACAAAAGTTTCATTATAACCTATCATGAATTATTTTTAAGTAGATTAATTATTGGCAAAGCTAAATGGCGGAACTCTTCCATATCAAATTAGCAATAAATCGCAAAAAAAAACTCCTGTAAATTCTTTAAATTAAATTTATTTAATAAATGCAAAAAGTTGTTATTTTTCTATCTTTGCATCCATAATCACTTATCTAATCTATAATATATTAGTGTCTGAAACTTTATAAAGTTTAGTATCTAAACTCTAGACAAAGTATAAACAAAATTCTAAAATCCTAAAACTTATACATTTTTTTTAAGAGAAGATTTAGAAAAAGTGCTTAAAGTTAAAATTTGAATATTTTTCTTTAGGAATATTTAAAGTTTATTAAGCAATTTTACATTAGCTTATTTTCAGTACATTATTATAATTTCCCAACTATAAATTTTAAACATTATTTGAAATTTTCAACAGCATTAATGCTATTTTTGGATTATTTTTTCTCATACTAGTAACTTTTAATTTATTTTCAATAACTTCTGCTGAAATAAAAGATTTAAGAAAATGGAAATATTTTTATTTTGAATCCAATACACAATTTTGGTAAGTTTAATTTAAATCCTTCTAAAATTTCAGAATATTGCTTTATATAATGATTATTGTTCAATTAATAAATTTTCTAGAAGCATAATCAATTTTGCTTTCTATGCTATCCTTCTTCTATATGATTTATTTAATCAAGTTTAAACCTTTATAATCTAAATATGAACTTTATAAATTAATTTGTAGAGAGTTTTTAGTTATATTGATAACTGGAACATTCTTAATTTATAGTTTTGAATATAATTAAGATATTTATATGCTAATTGGTTGGATTCATATAGGTATGTTTTCTTTAATTTTGGCTACTAATTTATTTATAGATATTTATGTATAAATTCAAGAAAATCTACGATAGCTATTTGTAAAAGAAATTAAAAGATTAAATTGAATAGGAGAGAAAATATTATTATAATCATTTGCAAGGATTTGTATTAAATAATAGTGATTATTGCCAGCAAAATCGATGATTAATATTTTTGTTTCTATTTATTTTTAAATCACTAATTGATATATTGTACATTTATAATTAAAATAGAAAAAATAACAAAATAAACAATGTAATATCAACATAATTCCATTTGAAATTCTTAATCTACATACACTCAAACAAAGATAAATGTCTTTCTTTTTTTTTTAAGTATTTATTTTGAAAATCTCTCAATTTCTAATATATTACACAAATTTATCGTGATAAGTTTATATCAAATATATAAAGCTTTAATTATAATTTTAAAAGAGATTCTGGAAACAACATCATATATCCAATATTCAGGGATAATTAGTCGATACTAATTGTTTAAAGCATTATGATAAACGAAAACCAGAATCGTCCTCAAAAAGAATTAGAAATTAATTTAAATACTGTTTATATTATGAAGAAGCATGCATTCAATTTAGAAAAGTAATCTTATCGTTATTTCTTTTATTAAATTTGAGGATAAGATGTTTATGCTTGAGGAAAGTTTTAGTTTTTATAATCAAATTCTATTTCATTATTTTAACTATTTTTAATTCTTCAAAAATACTAAATCTACTATTTTTATAGAGGATTTCGATAAATTATAATAATACTAATGTTTCAGATTTCCAGAAAAAATGTATAATAAATATTTACTTATTTTGTATTTTAGATAGTTTTTTTTAGAGTATGGTTAATTAGTAATAAATGAGTATAAAA